CAGATGGCTGTGATTTAAGCTAGTTAAAAGCCAGATTAAACAGCGCTGATATTCTCAACATCTTGACGCAAAAAAAAAACAGGTGAAACATTGTTCCAAGAACAAACCAGTTAGAAGACATTTCACTCCACAACTTATGAATTAACTGTAACTTAGTAAAACAAATTTTTTGGCAGAAATGTGCCTGTATTCATATTAAAAATGCTGTTATATTAATAGTCATGTAGGCCTATAAGTGTAGGCTATTAAATGTAATGCAGTAATGTTTTTGTTTAGAAGTTATGGCAGTTTATTTATTTATTTTGCATTAAATATTTATACTAAATGTTTATGCTACAATAGGTTTTTAGAGAATAATATATATATATATTACAATTTTTTCAGGAATTGTTGAACCAGAATATCAAGATATTTTATTATTTCGCATATGATGGTGAAAAGTAAAAAAGTTAAAGTTAAAAGTAAAGGTAAAGGTAAGGTAAAAAAAACACCACCATGTTATATGTATAGTAAATATTTTTGAGTATAGCCCTTCTAGATTATTTTATCCCTTTAGCCCTCGCACACAAAAAGGTTGGAGACCCCTGGTATATAGTAACTATATGTTTTATAAGTAGGGTTTCTGTAGCCAGTGACATTTCATTATTTGTATTTTATTTTCAATGCAGATGTAATGGCATTGTACATTTTTTTGTTTTTATTTGAAGACTGAGGCTTCATTAATAAACAAAACCCCAATTGTCATCATTGTTTTTGAGATATTACTTGCTGTGAATACCTTGTCTGATATAGGTTACAGTATTGTGGCATAGTATCAGGACATCCTAGTGGCTAGGGGCGAATGGCTGGATGATGGGCCTATTTGGGAGAAAGTCCAGGGCTGTTTTTTAGCCCCAGTCCGTCCCTGCTTATAATGCATACACAAGTAAACTCATATCTAATGTTCACAGAGTTTCCGGATTCTCTGAAAACTCGGGAGCAGTTGGTCGAGTTCCTGACTGTTGTGATTTTCACAGCTTCAGCACAACACGCTGCAGTCAACTTTGGACAGGTGAGTTACACACTTTTCAGGATGAATATGGACAAGTGCGTTGCACACACTTTTCAGGATGAATATGGACTATCTATAGGCTGATATCTGTGTGTCTGTCCTGGGTTCCAGTATGACTGGTTCGCCTGGGTCCCAAACAGCCCTTCCACCATGCGGAAGCCCCCTCCCGCTCAGAAGGGCCAGGTGGATATGAAGTACATCATGGAGAGTCTGCCGGACCGCGGACGTTCCTCTTTGCATCTAGGAATAAATTGGGCCCTCAGTCAATTCCAGGACAACGAGGTTTGATGACTGATTCTTCAGAACTAGATTGCATAAACTTTTTCTTCCTACAAATTTAAGTTGTTTTGATTGTGTGCAAATCTTCTCCAGATGTTTTTAGGCACATATCCAGATATGTACTTCACTGAACAACCGGTCATGAAAGCCGCTAAGACTTTCCGCAAGAAATTAGCTGAGGTGACCAACATCATCAAGAGCCGAAATGAGAATTTGAAAGTGCCCTATTGGTATCTGTCTCCAGACCGAATCCCCAACAGTGTGGCCATCTGAGAGAACATCGCTTGGGAAACTTAACTGGGCTATTTCACAACATGACACAACATGCGTGATGATACGAATGCATGAATAGCCGTCTCCGAGTTGATAAAAAACAGCCTTAAAGGGATAGTTCACCCAAAAATGTAAATTCTGTCAGTAATTACTCACCCTCATGTTGTTCATCTTCGGAACACAAATTAAGATATTTTTGATTAAAGGGATACTCCACTTTTTTTGGAAATAGGCTCATTTTACAACTCCCCCAGAGTTAAACTGTTGAGTTTTACCGTTTTTGAATCCATTCAGCCGATCTCCGGTTCTGGCGGTACCACTTTTAGCATAGCTTAGCATACATCATTGAAGTGGACAAGACCATTAGCAGTTCTCAAACAAAAATCACCAAAGAGTTTCGATATTTTCCCTATTTAAAACTTGACTCTTCTGTAGTTACATCGTGCACTAAGACCGACGGAAAATGTAAAGTTGCGATTTTCTAGGCTGATATGGCTAGGAACTATACTCTCATTCCTGCGTAATAATCAAGAAACTTCACTGCCGTACCATGAGAGCAGCAGGCGTAATGATATGACGCAGTGCCTGAAAATAGGCCACCTTCCGTCAACACAACGGAACTATTTTCAGGCACTGCGTCATATCATTACGCCTGCTGCTCTCATGGTACGGCAGTGAAGTTTCTTGATTATTACGCAGGAATGAGAGTATAGTTCCTAGCCATATCAGCCTAGAAAATCGCAACTTTACATTTTCCGTCGGTCTTAGTGCACGATGTAACTACAGAAGAGTCAAGTTTTAAATAGGGAAAATATCGAAACCCTTTGGTGATTTTTGTTTGAGAACTGCTAATGGTCTTGTCCACTTCAATGATGTATGCTAAGCTATGCTAAAAGTGGTACCGCCAGAACCGGACATCGGCTGAATGGATTAAAAAACGGTAAAACTCAACAGTTTAACTCTGGGGGAGTTGTAAAATGAGCCTATTTCCAAAAAAAGTGGAGTATCCCTTTGATTAAATCTGAGAGCTGTCTAACTCCTCCATATACTATTGTAAATGAAACCTGCCGGCCCAGAAAGTTAGTAAAGACATCGTTAAAATAGTCCAAAGTGGCTCAATCTTAAGTTTATCAAGCGACGAGAATAGTTTTTGTGCGCAAACCCCCCCCCAAAAATAACAACTTTATTCAACTATTCATCTTCTACTCTGTGGGCCTCTGAGTGAGTTCACGTAGTGTAATAGCGCAGCGCTATGTCAGAACGTAGGCTCGCTATTGGCCAGTATCAAACACATGACCAGCTTCGGCCAATAGTGAGGCTACGTTCTAACGCAGCGCTGTTACAAAATCTTCTGAAAATGAATCTGCTGTTTATAGAACCAGTGTAGTGGCCAGACCAAATGCTTACTGCATTCAATAAAGGAAACTCAACATCAAAACAAACAAACAAACAAATGATCAGACAAAAAAAAAAAAATCATCTACAGCAACATTTGTAACCGAGAGTCTAAAAGCCAATTCAAGATCAAGGTTATGGCCACCCTATGAGTAAAACTGAGTAAAATTAAAAGAATCAATCAACTGCAGAAATTCACCAACCATGCAGTGGCTTGGAAGGACAACATGCATGTATATTAAAATCACCAAGAATAAGAATATTATCACAGGTAGGAACTGTAAAAGACAAAAATTCTGAATATTACTTAATAAAATCCTTATTGTACCTTGGAGGCCTATAAATAAGTGCACATAGCAACGAAGAGGCAAAGTCAACCCTAAATAACTGCATTTCAAAGCTCTGGTATAAGTCCCGGACGGCAGCTCACAACATTTAATGATTTTTGTACACTGCTAACACCTCGCCCAGTAGTTCTAGGAGGAGGGTTAACAAAATAAACGATTAAAGGGAGAAAGTTCCGATAAAGGACAAAATCATCAATGTTTCAGTCACAAAACGAAGTCCAAATTATTTGATGAACATTAATCATTTAAAGTAAAAGATTTATTCAGCAAGGACCTCGCATTTATTAACGCCATCTTGACAGAGATCGTGTTATCAACTTGTGAAGAAATCAAGCACTTATCTCGTTTCAGCGATCGAAGATAACCTCTGGACCCTCCGATAAACTGGAAGCATAACGTCTTGATTCCACAGGAACTCGATAATCCACATGTGGCACCACAGGAGGCCTATGGGTGGCACAAAAACTTTTAGATTTAATCAGGATCCTCTTCGTTTGATCAGCAATCCCCCGGAATCCCAACGCCGATAAAGACGTGCGAATGCGATGCTAAGAGTTTTGTGATTGTAGAGCAACATGGGATTTCCACTTAGCAAAGAAGCGCCGAAAGCAGGCCCAAAGTTGGACAGGCACCAAAAACGTAAACAAACAAAAACACTCCAAAGCATGACGGCATGCCGACAAACACACTGGCGCCATAATAATAGTAATAATAATAATAATAATATGCAAGAAAAAAAACATGGCCGGAGCGATCATAGCATATATGCTTACCAATTAATGTGCACAGAATTAAACAAATAAATGTGCAGTCGATATTCACAGTGATTGAAATGTGTATGTTTTTATTCAATTAAATTTGTATAATTGTTAGTCATTCATGTAGTTTTAATTTGATTTATCATGTAGGCTATTCATTTTATTACATAGCCTAATTTATGTCATGTTCTGTTTTTATATTACTTGTTTTGTTTTTCTTTCTGCTGTTGTGTAATCTTATGTTTGTGGAGATTGTTGGTTTGTTTTCACAATGTCAAGGTTTTTAAAGTCACAGGATGAAGTTGTGAAGCAGTGTTTTGTTTTTCCTGTGCTTGTCCTTTGCTAATTGCTAATATAATAACAGTTGTTGAATTTGTACTGGTCAGATGAAACAAGATTATTCAATAAACCAACTCTGATCGTTTTTAACATCACGTCGTCTTCTGCTTCTGCTCTCCTGGCTTTCAGTCAAACTCTCTGGCTAATTTTTTTTTTTTTTTATATATATATAGTTACAAGAAAAGACTCGCTGTTCACAGGTTTGACTGACAAAACAGATATCGTCTGTCTGGAGTCTGTATTTAGTTTATTCGGCAAATGTTAGAACTGCTAATAATAGGAAAGTGAAAAAGAATGAGTTCAGATCTGTGTGCCCGACCTCGCTTTCCTTCAACATCCACTGCAACTTCTACATGAAAAACGAAACACTTTTTGTTTTGAAAAATATAGATAATAATAATAATTGTATAGGTATAATATATGTTTGTCAACTAAATTAATTTAAAGTATTTAGGCAGAAACCAGTTGATTTACTGGTTTTGAGGAATATGAGAAAATTAAATTCAGTCTGTGACTGTCCAAACTTTACAAAAGGTTGTAATTGCCGCTTCTCTCCACTAAGTGTCGCGCTTGCGCAGGAAAATATCACAGGCGCTTCAGTGCGTCATAACCGAGCGACAGGCAAACAGACGCGTTACAAAACATCAAAATCACTCTGAACTTCAACCCAACCTATGAAATAAATTAACAGTTTGTCTGGTGAGTAATTATATTTGTTGGCAATTTTAACATATAATAAAATGTCTAAATACTATATTGTTGTAATGTGGAGGAATGCCTATAATAAAATATAACATTAATATACAATCATCGTTTATGTCATTATGTCATGTCATTGATCAAATTTACTGCCGCGCATTCTTCAAAACAGATGAAAAGATCTTGAAATGAAAAAAAAGTTTTACTGAATATGAGCTGCTGTTACTGTCGTGTGTCATAATCAATCTATAATACAGAAATATGTGGATAGAAATACTATTTAAATATATTTCCATTAGGTAACCAATGGTGATCCAGATTCAATATCTAGTTCATATCTCGCCCCAAAAATGTAAATTAAAAAAAGCTTGGCTTAGAATGAATAACCTTATTTGCTATTATAATGAATTAACCTTATTTGCTAGTCGTTTTGGATATAGTCTACTCTAGATAGAATTTTAACGTTTTTTTAATGTTACTAACGTTACTTGTTTTAAACGTTCAGAGAACATTCCAAAGTAACGTTCCCATAATGTTTGAAGAATGATAAAATGGAATGTTGCATTAAAATGTTGCATTTTTTAAAAAACATTTAAAAAAATTTCGAACATTCAGAAATAATGTTTTCATAACTTAATGGGAACACTATAACAACGTTCTTAGAACATATTTTTGTTAAACCAGGATGTTAATCTGTGATTCTAAAATAATAAGATTTAAGTAAATTTAAGTTTTTGCTTAGAATGAATGTAACCTTATTTGCTAGTAGTTTTGGATAAACCCTTTATTTGAAGGTAATGTAGTTACACATTACTACATGTACTTACTGTAGTAATAACAGTAAATTATGCATAATTACAAGAAACTAAACCAAACCCAAACCATGACACTGTAGTAAGTACATAATTAATTAATAATACTCAGTACTTATTAGGGATGCAAGATATATCGGTAACGGCCGATATACGTTCATTTCTAATGTTATCGTTATCGGCCTAATAAGAAAATTTGGCTGATATATTAAAGCTATTAAATAATGCATTATTTCCTTCATCTGAGACTCTTCAGATGCGCACTGTTCAACATGATGCTTTTGAATTGCTTGAAATATGATTGGAATCACTTAAAGTGAAATGTAATATACAGTAAAGTGATATCAGCTACATAAAATTATGATGAGAACTTTATAATTGTGTGTTTGGGTCATGGCTTTTATTTGTGAGACTTTTGTTTTTGTAATAAGGGTCTCAAAACTTGTATAAAAATTTGGATTTGGATTCATCAGCCAATATATCGGTTATCGGTTTTCAAATATAAAGAATTATCGGTTATCGGCCAACATTTTTATATGCATCTGCATCCCTAATACTTATTAGAGTAAGAACAATGTAACTACATCACCTTAAAATAAAGTGTAACCAAAGCATCTGCTAAATGAATAATATAAATATAGATATGCTCACCTTATTCAGTTTTCTTTCTTAAACAATACATTGTAGAAAAATAAATGCATATATATATATATATATATTATATTACCCTTTATATAACCTTGATATTTGAACGCCAATAACCGATATATTGGCCGATAAATCTACATTTTTACATAATTTTTTGAGAGCCTGATTACAAAAACAAACTCTCACCATTAAAAGCCACGTCCCAAACACACAATTATAATGTTCTCATTATAATTTTATGGATCTGATATGACAGACTTGTGCTGAACATGTTGCACTTTACTCTATTTTCTTTTTTGAAGTGATTTAAATCATATTTCAAGCAATTCAAACCCATTATGTTGAACAGTGCGCATCTGAAGAGTCTCAGCTGAAGGACATAATACACTATTTATCAGCTTTAATATATCGGGCCGATAACGCTAACATTAAAAATGAACATATATCGGCCGATACCGATACGGTGCATCCCTTATACACACACACACACGCATAAAAGTTCTGTTAACATTTTATAATAAGGTTATTTGTTAACATTAGAGCAATGCATTTGTGAACTAATGGGACCTTATTGTACAGTTGTGATGATGAAATGAGTGGCGATGTCTCATCAGGCTCTTCGCGTTAGCGTTCTCAGGCGATGTTCTCAGACGAGCTGCTGATGCGGTTTCTGGACGCCTCGTCTCGAGGAGACGTGGAGAAGGTTTCGGTGCTGATGTCTCAGTCCGCAGAGCTCCTGAACCAGCGAGGAGAGACGGGCTGGACCGCTCTGATGCTGGCCGCCAGGAACGGACACTACGACGTGGCCAAAGTCTTGCTGTCCCACGGGTGAGAGAACAACTCCTGCCGAACTAGCACTCATTACATTTCATCATTAACATTTCATTTAATATTCAACAATATTATTGATCTCCTGCATTGACACTATTATACAAGAACTGAACTGAGCTGGACGATGACATCACGGTTTACTCCAGACTATATATAAAAACTAAACTAATAACTTTTTTTACTACAGAAATGAAGCATCACTGAACTGACTTAAGCTGGACTGTGACGCTATTCTCTTCTGGACAAACTGTGCTGCATTATTGTCCTGTTATCTCTGTAAAGCTGCTCTGAAACACTGCTGTAATAGCGCTGTATAAATAAATGTGACTTAACTTAATATTCAATGCAGTTTCTCAGGGGAACGCAAAAGCATTGAAATATTCATATGTTCTTTTAGGGCCTCCACCTTAAAGGAGTCGTTCACTTCAGAATTAACATTTCTTGATAGTTTACTCTCCCCCACGTCATGTTCATGTCTTTCTTTCTTCGTTCGGAACAGAAATGAAGGTTTTTGAGGAACACACTCCAGGGTTTCTCCATATAGTGTCTTCAATGGGGTCCAACGGGTCGAAGGTCCAGATGTGAGTTTCAGTGCAGCTTCAAAGTCTCGACACGATCCAGCCGAGGAATAAGAGTCTGATCTAGACAAACCAGCGGATATTTATAACAAAATACACATTTATATACTTTATAACCACTAATGCTGGTCTTGCACGAGCTGTGATGCGACACACGTTACGTAATCAGGGTGAAAGGTCAAGCGGGACGTAGGCGGAAGAACGTCTCCGGTTACTTTCGTAACCTCGGTTCCCTGAAAGGCAGGGAACTAGACATTTACGTCGATGACGTAGTATGGGAACTCCTCCCCTTCTTCACTTCTGCTGAAATCTTATGGGCTAACGCCAGCTGGAGACAGCTGGCCAATTGACGCAAAGTATGCAAATACTGACACGCCTGCTGGCAGTATAAATTGCATACGCGCGTCAATTGCATCAGAATACGACTGAACGCTCGAATGAACAAGCGACACGGCGTTCGACGTAAATGTCTCGTTCCCTGCCTTTCAGGGAACCGAGGTTACGAAAGTAACCGGAGACGTTCCCTTTCAAGGCGGTCACTTCGCCATTTACGTCGATGACGTAGTATGGGAACTGTGTCAAATCCCGCCGTGGAGCAGTGAACCCACCCACTCGAGAATGACAGAACCCTCATCCAATAGCTGTGCTACTAGAAATACGAGCTCCTGATAGGGCGAAGCGAGCCAATAGCGCGCTTTCTAAACCTCATCAAAATTTGCATATCCCAAGCAAATGAATAGAGGAAAGTCTTGCACTGAATCATTCAGGGCAGAACAACACAGAGTAATAGCAACTATAATACAAGTCAGCAGCAAAGCGGCGACAGTTGCATAAGCACAATACATAAATCAAGCATTCATGCACAACCTGAAGGCTCAGCTCACCGAAAGCACTTGAGACGCAACAGAAGGTACATCCAACTTATAAAATCTGGCGAACGTATTCTGAGAAGACCAGCCAGCAGCAAGACACAAGTCCCTTATAGACATACCTCTGGACCAGGCCCACGAAGAGGCGATCGCCCTCGTCGAATGGGCCTTAATGTTGAGGGGACAGACCACCCCCTGGCAATCATAAGCCAAGGCAATAGCATCCACAATCCAGTGAGCAAGCCTCTGTTTCGAAACTCCACGTCCCTTGTTGCAACCGCCAAAGCATAAAAATAGCTGATCCGATTGACGAAAAGCGGCTGAGCGAGTCATATACATCCGTAAAGCCCTGACTGGGCAAACAGCGCTCTGAGCATCAGTATCACGCGAGACTGACAACTCAGAAGACAACGCCGGCAGTAAAACAACCTGCGCTTTGAACGGAGTACTGAGTGACTTCGGAACGTAACCCTGTCTTGGCCGAAGAGTGACATTACAATCCCGGTCCAAAACGAATGCAGTCCTCGTGAACCGAGTACGCTTGTAGGTCCCCCACACGTTTCGCTGAAGCAAGAGCGAGAAGCAAAGCAGTTTTCAGGGAAAGCTCCTTGATCGCAATCGAAGCCAGTGGCTCAAACGGTGGAAGAGACAGAGCCCTCAACACTAGGGCTAAATCCCACGCCGGCACAGAAGGCGGCCGTGACGGACATAATCTCCTAGCTCCCCTGAGAAAACTGATCACCAACGCATGTTTACTGATCGACTGTCCTTCGATCGGGGGGTGAAACGCAGAAATAGCAGCCACATACACCTTCAGAGTGGACGGTAAACTCCCATTATCCATCCTGTGCTGAAGGAAGCGACACGGTGCAATTACCCGGGTCAATACTGATATCCTGGCACCATTTAGAGAAAACTTCCCATTTCAATTTGTATAAACGCCTAGTGGATGGGGCGCGCGCCTCAGCGACAGTGCTCATCGCTCGAGAGTGCAGAGCGTCCCGCTCATTCAGAGTCCCCGCAGCGGCCATACATGAAGGTTCCACAGCCCGGGGTTGGGGTGCCATACCGTGCCGTTCGCCTGCGATAACAGGTCTCTCCTGAGCGGAATTTCCCACGGGGAGTCCACTAGTAATTCCATCATGTCCGCGAACCAGGGCTGATTCGGCCAGTTCGGGGCTACGAGAATCACAGACGCTTTCTCTTCTCTGATTTTGCATAACACTGTAGGCAGAATCTTCACCGGAGGAAAGGCGTAAAGTCTGGCTCTCGGCCAGCGCGAAGTCAAGGCGTCGTTCGTCCGTCCCAAGGGGGAACGAGACAGCGAGAAGAACGCCTGGCAGTGCGTGTTCTCGCTCGAGGCGAACAGATCGACTTCCGCCCTCCCGAACCGATCCCAGATCATCTGCACCGATCCCGGGTGAAGCCTCCACTCTCCATGAGGAATCCCATTCCTCGAGAGCATATCCGCTCCGCGATTCAAAACACCGGGAATATGCGCTGCTCTCACGGATAGAAGGTGCCGGTCTGCCCACAGCAGGAGACTCGCCGCCTGCTCGAATAGGAGTCTGGAGCGCACGCCTCCCTGGCGATTTATGTATGAGACCACCGACGTGTTGTCGGTCCGAATCAGTACATGCTGACGCTCTAACTGTGACCGGAAGGTTTTGAGGGCTAAGGATACCGCCATCAATTCCAAGCGGTTTATATGCCACTTTCGCTGCGACTCCGTCCATAAGCCTGAGGCAGTCGCGCCCATGCACACTGCTCCCCAGCCTGAGGTTGATGCATCCGTCAAGACTGCGGTGCGATGCGCCACGGTGCCCATCGGAACCCCTGAACTGAATAACGCTGGGTTTTTCCACGGTACCAAAGTGCGAATGCAGCTGCGGGTGACCGTGATGCGCCTGAGTCCGGACGACCACGCCCCCTGAGGGACTCGGAGCTTCAACCAGATTTGAAGAGGGCGCATATGCAACAGCCCCAGATGACACACTGGGGAGGCTGCCGCCAAAAAGACCTAACAGCCTCTGAAATTCCTCGGTCTGAAACGGTCCAGAGACAATGTCAGAGACTTTATGCGCTCTTGAGAGAGATGGGCTCGCATCATTATTGAGTTCAAGCACACTCCCAGAAATGTTGTGGTCTGACTCGGTGTGAACACGCTTTTCTGTTCGTTTACACGCATCCCCAGCGAGTCCAGGTGACGAAGTAGTATTTCCACATGACCGATTAGCACCTCTCGCGAGTGGGCTAGAATCAACCAATCGTCCAGATAATTTAGGATGCGCATTCCGCTCGACCTGAGGGGAGAAAGCGCCGCGTCCACACACTTCGAAAAGGTGCCGGGGGCAAGAGCCAATCCGAACGGGAGTACTGAGTACTGATAAGCTGTGCCCTCGAACGCAAACCTCAGAAAACGCCTGTGGCGCGCTGCTATCTGGATATGAAAGTACGCGTCCTTTAAATCCACTGAAGCGAACCAATCCCCGGGACGAACTTGCGCCAGAATCTGCTTCAACGTTGTCATTTTGAACGCGCGCTTGTGAAGTGCTCGGTTTATGGGTCTCAGGTCCAGGATCGGACGGAGACCCCCCCTCTCTTGGGTACCACAAAGTAGCGGCTGTAGAAACCGCTCTCCCTCTCGTTCGGGGGAACCGGTTCTATCGCTCCTTTCTCGAGCAGACTGAGAACTTCCTGTCTCAGAACGGGAACGTTTTGGGGCAAAGTTAATGACGGGATCACGCCGTTGAAACGGGGTGGTCTGCGTCTGAACTGAAGCGAATACCCGTGTCGAATTAAGCCCAACACCCACGGTGAAATGCCCGGAATTGATTCCCTCGCACCCAGAAAATGACTCAGAGTGCGTACTCGAACTGCGGTCATAGCCGCCCCCAGTGTAGTGTTTAGACTGGAGCCGCACTCCCGCGAGGCTGATAGCCCTGGTGGGAGTGCGGCTCGCAGTGGGCTGAGTGTAGTGCTGGCGATCTCGTGCCCATGAGATGCCATTATAGTCATCGAGTGTGACCCTGCGCTGTCTCGTGAAAGGGCTTGTGACACAATGTGAGGTGTAAGAGGAAGAAAAAGCTCTTTTTGTGAAGGGATACATGCTTTTATTAATTTTTTGGAACAAACAACATTCACACATATGCAATCGTCGCTCAACTGAACATGAGGGACACGATGCATAAGAACACGGCGCTTGGAGGCCGGTCCTCCTTCGCGCTCTCTCTTCCTCTTGGCTGCTCCGTCAGGAAGAAGGCTTTGACGCGGAGGGGGGCGCGCTGACCTTCCCTCGGCGCGGGCTCGTTCTCTGGCCCTGGTTCTTTCTCCCGGGTCCCGGCCACTGTCTGCCCCGGGAAGCGCGAGCATCCGGCTCGGTGCGAGGCGCCGCCGATTGTCTCACCGAGCTCTGGGGCTGGCTCCGGGTAGCCTATGACGAGCGCGAACGCTGACGAACCGGGGGCGCTCGACGCGGGATCACGTGGCTCATGGCTTTAGCGCGTTTCTGGGTCTCCGAGAAACGCTCCGTGACAGCCTCCACCGCGTTCCCAAAGAGACCGGCTGGGGTGATGGGAGCATTAAGCAAGGTTTTCCGGTCGGAATCCTTGACATCAGACAGCGTCAGCCACAGGTGTCTGTGGAGGACGACCAGAAAACCCATGGAGCGACCGATGGCTTGCGCTGAGCGTTTGGTGGCCATCAGCGCAAGGTCTGTAGCTGAGCGGAGATCCCGGATGACGTCAGCGTCAACAGAGGCGACGCCATCCAGGGACTTAAGCAACTTCGCCTGGAACACCTGTAGAATAGCCATGGTGTGGAGAGCTGATACTGCCTCTCCTGCCGCTCCGTACGCCTTATCCGCTTGGTGGGCCGTGAACCTGCAGGGCTTGGACGGCAGGCTGCGGTCCGCGCCCAGTGCAGACGTCGATGGGCACAGGTGAGTGGCGACGGTCTCCTCGACGGGCGGCATGCGCACGTAACCGTGGGCTACAGCCTCGTCTACATGTGCGAACAAGGACTGAGTGGCAGAGTGGGTGCGCGCCGACTGGGGCGCAGCCCACGACTTAACCACGTGTTCGTGGACGTCCGGGAAAAACGGGGTTCCCCTCTTCGACGCGGCCTGACGATTATGAAAGATTCATTGTGCAGTCAGCTTCATTGATAATAACAGAGATGTGTGAGATCGCGATGAACTGTCAGCTTTTAGGATTTATTAAGGGAGCGCACTTTGCGCGCATTCAGTCATGCCAGACCATGCACTAGCCTGCTTGCTTTTATGTTAAATTAACAGTGGTTTGTGTGTTAATACATTTATTATTTTACTAATTTTTATTTATTTTTAGACTTGTTAAAACAAGCAGAGAAGAAAATAACCTTGTCTTCTAACCTGTGTTCTAAAATAGTCGTCTTCTTTTCTGGGAGCCTATTACTTTTGCGGTAGAAATATCGGTATCGGTACTCGGTATCGGCAAGTACACAAATGTAAATACTCGTACTCGTATCGGTTTGAAAAAAAATGGTATCGGGCCATCCCTATTTGTAATCATTTTAGAAACAATAATTTTAGTCTTTGGAATAAATGCACTGATGAATCTTTCACCACAATAACAGGAACAAGTGCAGTTTAATTTCATGTTCATCTGAACAATGACAAACTGAACATCAACAGAAATGTGAAGGAAAGAAGAATGAAAGATTTGATTACCGTCACTCTTTCAGATGTGACACTAGCGGCACGAACCGCTCGGGTCAGACGGCCGCAGACGTGGCCCAGTTCTGGGGTCACCGACACATCGTTCGTCTGTTGGCCAGCGCTCCCGATCCCGATCTCCATCGTCTTCTCCCCGAGCGCGCCGGGGAAGAGCCGGACACGTTCTTCAACAGAGAGTTTCTGGACAGAATGAGCGTCAAGCGGAGCGACTCGGAGTGGCTCGACTCCAAACGAGCTTCTCCAGAGTCGGTGTTCCTGCTCTTCCACAAGCTGAATCCTCTGGTGTCGTCGGGAGCGGGCGGAACCAGGCTCTGTAAACTCAGAGCGCCGCGAGTCCAGGAGATGCTGAAGAACCGAGACGCGGTGCTGGTTTTCCTGGGAGTGGAGAAACAGGAGAAACAGGAGAAGGACGATAATCTGCTGGCGTGGTTCGCTCTCGATACCGAAGACGATCCTGCAGAATTCCTGAAAGCTGAAGATCCCGGTTGTTTTTTCCTTCCGGGAGCGATGCCGGGACTTTTGAGGCTGAGTGACGATGATGCAGGTGGGATTCCTTAACTCACAGTCAAACCAAAAATTAATCAAACACCAGATTGTGATATTGTTCCACTAGTGTGATCAGGACACTATAGTTAATTTCTGTAAGTGAGGAGAGCAGAATAAAGTAAACTGACATATTACACCCAAATATTCTTCATCCAGTGACTACCAGTAACAATGATTCCTCCACTTTGAGCTGATCATGTTTTGCTGAAGTGTGTTTTCTGTAATTGCTAATGCTCTTTTTACACACACACTGAACAACATGAAGCATTGCTTGGTCACTGGTTGAGCTAAACTGGTATTATCTAATTGTGGAGTTCAATTTTAAATTCAACCTTATTCAGTTGTTTTTTCCTTCCGGGAGCGTTGTTGAGCGTTAACGTTGTGCGTCGGGTCGAGAGCGTTGTTGCTCTTTTGGCATAAATCGATGCGTATTCCGTCTGCCGAAAGATAGTTATAGTTTGATAAAGTTTTAAATATGGATATTTTTCTTACATGAATGCATCGCTTCGCTTCAGAAGGCCTTTATTAACCCGCCGGAGCCTGTGGAGCACTTTAATCATGGACCGATGCACTTTTATGATGGATAGATGCACTTTTATGATGGATAGATGCACTTTTATGATGGATAGATGCACTTTTATGATGGACAGATGTACTTTTATGATGGATAGATGCACTTTTATGATGGATAGATGCACTTTTATGATGGACAGATGTACTTTTATGATGGATAGATGCACTTTTATGATGGATAGATGCACTTTTATGATGGACAGATGTACTTTTATGATGGATAGATGCACTTTTATGATGGACAGATGCACTTTTATGATGGATAGATGCACTTTTATGATGGATAGATGCACTTTTATGATGGACAGATGTACTTTTATGATGGATAGATGCACTTTTATGATGGACAGATGCACTTTTATGATGGATAGATGTACTTTTATGATGGACAGATGCACTTTTATGATGGACAGATGCACTTTTATGATGGATAGATGCACTTTTATGATGGACAGATGCACTTTTATCATGGATAGATGCACTTTTATGATGGATAGATGCACTTTTATGAAGGATAGATGCACTTTTATCATGGATAGATGCACTTTTATGATGGACAGATGCACTTTTATAATGGCTAGATGCACTTTTATGAAGGACAGATGCACTTTTATGATGGATAGATGCACTTTTATGATGCACAGATGCACTTTTATGAAGGATAGATGCACTTTTATCATGGATAGATGCACTTTTATGATGGACAGATGCACTTTTATAATGGCTAGATGCACTTTTATGAAGGACAGATGCACTTTTATGATGGACAGATGCACTTTTATGATGCACAGATGCACTTTTATGATGGATAGATGCACTTTTATGATAGATAGATGCACTTTTATGATGCACAGATGCACTTTTATGATGGACAGATGCACTTTTATGATGGACAGATGCACTTTTATGATGGATAGATGCACTTTTATGATGGATAGATGCACTTTTATGATGGACAGATGTACTTTTATGATGGATAGATGCACTTTTATGATGGATAGATGCACTTTTATGATGGACAGATGCACTTTTATGATGGATAGATGCACTTTTATGATGGACAGATGCACTTTTATGGACTTCGAAAGACATATAGCAATTCACTGCCATTATAAAGCTTGGAAGAGCCAGGACATTTAATATAACTCCGATTGTATTCGTCATATACACCTAGGATGACTTCTGGGTGAGTAAATCATGGGTGAATTTTCATTTTTTGGGTGAACTATCCCATTAAGCAAAACATGATCAGCTCAAAGTGTCTAAATAACGTTTGGTCCCATAATTGTTACTGGTAGTCACTGTATGAAGAATATTTGTGTATAATATGTCACAGTTTACTTTATTTTGCTCTCCTCACTTACATAAATGAACTATAGTGTAAAAAATCATATCTGGTGTCTGAATAATTTTTGGTTTGACTGTAAATATAGTTTATGATGTAAGATGTGCTTTGTTTATGACATTAATCATGCTTTCACACACAGGCGTTGTGGCTCAGGCCAGATCGGTTCTCGCGTGGCACAGCCGGTACCTGTTCTGCCCGACGTGTGGCAGCACCACTAAAGTAGAGGAGGCCGGCTACAAGAGGACCTGTTTGAAAGCAGGCTGCAGAAGTCTCCAGGGCGTCCACAACACCTGTTATCCCAGAGTTGGCAAGTAAACTCCCAATTACGGCTCAGCCGGAGCTCGGGGAATATGATCTTTCACACGTCTGGCTTGTCCATCTGCACTTCCAGATCCGGTGGTGATCATGTTAGTCCTTCACCCCGACGGGAATCAGTGTCTGCTGGGACGCAAGAAGAGCTTTCCTCCAGGACTGTTCTCCTGCCTCGCCGGGTTCGTAGAGCCAGGTATCTGAAACCCAAGCTCTGGATCAAAGGCTTCCTTAAGAGTCGCACATTCAGTTTGATCACATTCAAGACCATAAAAAGTCTGAAGCTTCCATGCTTTTCTTCCAGGTCATTTCAGAAAATGACAAAAAAAACTTTCAGAAAAGTCATTTCCAGACTTTTCTTATCTTGAAAGACTTTTCTTATCTTTTCTTAGTGGGAATTGCGATTTAAAAAGTCTTAACTTTTAAAGTTAAAGTTTCTAGAGAAGAAAAGTCTGAATTGTGAGAAAAGCGTCATAGAAATTAGGGGTGGGCGATATGAGCAAAAATTCATATCACGATATTTTTCACTGTCCGGACGATATCGATATTATATCGCGATATGAGAAAAAAAATTGGAATCACATTTTAGTACACCTTAGTTAAATTACAGGCAAAATATGTATTTTAACACTAGATAACTAGAAAAAGGTGAGGCATTTCATTGGACATAGACCTGAAATGTTTTTTTTGTGCCATTTTTTCCTCTCAAAAAGTGCAAACGTGCAACATGAGGTAGGCCTAAATGCACTTGTTATGTCTTTCCACTTTTTGCTCGTCTTGTCATAATGAGAACCGGCAGCGAATGAAGACTTTATTGATTTCTGAGTGAGAGCCGTCTTCGGGTGTGCTCTGTCTCCGCCGGGAATATCTGTTGTTATAGTTTTGCTTTTTTAAATTAGTTTTTATTTTAATATCGTTTTCAATTTTGCTTTAAATTTCAGTTTAGTTTTAGCTAGTTTCATTAATGGTTTTGTTAGTGTTTATTTTGCAAACACATTTCTATATATCGTTTTTATTTTATTTAGTTTCAGTTTTAGTAATTATAGTTTAGCTTTAGCAGAGCGAGCAGAACACTTCCAGTGTAGACCAAAGCGAGACGTTTAATTTAAGTTTAATGTTTGCACAGATTACAGTTAACTCTTGTGCAGACATCTTAATAATAAAAATAAAATAATGGTTTGAGATTGAACAAAGCACCAAATAAATAGAACTTAAAAGTATACAAGAAAAAAAACAATGAAAATTTTCATACAAACTAATTCATTAGTGTAAGGAGACAGAATAAAGGCCTACAGTTTGTACAGTATAAAACCCATTACGTCTATGGAGAGTCCCCACAAAGATAGTGGACCAGTGTGTGTGTATGCGCGCGCTTATGTGTGTGTCGTGTCCTGTTATTCATAGCCTAACGTTACATTGCGGGGAAATGTCTCCACGTGGATAATATTATTAGCAGTAAATGTTTTGTAAAAACAAAGATAATAATAGCAGTTTTTAGCCTTTCAACCTTCATGAAAACATGACATCTCAAACATACAGTAGCCTAGAACTTTAACGTTTGTTTGTGCTTGACGAACTTGTTGTGGTGTTGCACCCGCGTCTCGCAAATGAAACAGCATTCTAAAAATGCTGCGCTCAAGTTAAAAGTCAAACTTGCGTCTCATTACCTTGTTATTTCCCATTCCACCGCAAAAGATGCATCCTTTATGAACAGCCGCTTAGCACTAGCGATGTGTTCTACGTTACGGTCCTTCATTGAACGCGTCACAGGACAGCGGTTATCGCCTCAGCAACTTCACGCGTATGAAGCGCCAAATCAGCCATTTCCTTAAACAGCGTATTCGATTCTGTCTGTATCGTCATTAGTGTTAACAGTTGTAAAGAGTACCAAATTGAACAAAACAATATAACTGCAAAATTTGAATTTATGAATAGCCTACGGTATCCTCGGTATCGCAAAATCCATATCATGGCACAACATAATACCGGTGTTGACGTTCATACCGTTATAGCGCCCACCCCTAATAGAAATTAATGTGAATTCTGAGATTCTGACTTAATTCTGAGAAATAAAATCAATTGCAAGATGTAAAGTTTAAAAATGTATTTGCCCATTTTTATCACAGTTCTGACCTGAAAAAATCCAAATTGTGAGGAAAAAATGTCACAATTACTTTTTTTATTTTTTTATTCCGTGGTGGGAAAAATACAGAAGCCCTGAACCGCAACGTAAAAAAAAAAAAGCAGTAAAAAAAAAAACCATTTCGAGAATAAAGTCGAAACATTTCGAGAATAAAGTCGAAACATTTCGAGAATTAAAGTCGAAACATTTCGAGAATTAAAGTCGAAACATTTCGAGATTAAAGTCGAAACATTTCGAGATTAAAGTCGAAACATTTCGAGAATAAAGTCGAAACATTTCGAGATTAAAGTCGAAACATTTCGAGAATTAAAGTCGAAACATTTCGAGATTAAAGTCGAAACATTTCGAGAATAAAGTCGAAACATTTCGAGATTAAAGTGGAAACATTTCGAGAATTAAAGTCGAAACATTTCGAGATTAAAGTCGAAACATTTCGAGAATTAAAGTCGAAACATTTCGAGAATTAAAGTCGAAACATTTCGAGAATTAAAGTCGAAACATTTCGAGATTAAAGTCGAAACATTTCGAGATTAAAGTCGAAACATTTCGAGAATTAAAGTCGAAACATTTCGAGAATTAAAGTCGAAACATTTCGAGAATTAAAGTCGAAACATTTCGAGATTAAAGTCGAAACATTTCGAGAATTAAAGTCGAAACATTTCGAGATTAAAGTCGAAACATTTCGAGATTAAAGTCGAAACATTTCGAGAATTAAAGTCGAAACATTTCGAGATTAAAGTCGAAACATTTCGAGAATTAAAGTCGAAACATTTCGAGATTAAAGTCGAAACATTTCGAGATTAAAGTCGAAACATTTCGAGAATTAAAGTCGAAACATTTCGAGATTAAAGTCGAAACATTTCGAGAATTAAAGTCTTCCGTAGAAGTGTGTGCATTCATAACAGTGCGCGTCCACTGGCTCAGAGCGCGTGTGTGTGTGTGTGTTATCTGGGCTTTCAACAAAATTCTACACAGGTGCTAATCTACCAACAAGAATGACCATGTCGTTGCCTATAGACGAGCGCACAGACTCCGCCCGAGTATCCCAATGGTCCAAACTTTATGTAGCAGTGTTTTTTAAATGTTTTCGTGCTCGTCTATCTGGGTCGAGAACACAACAGTAACCGTTCTGTCTCCCTCTTCACCGTAAATACCTTCTGGATACATTTTATCATTCTGTATCCAATCATTTGGCCGGATCCCGTGATTTCCTCAGATTTAATAACCACTAATGGTTCTCTGATATGATTGTAAAGCGCTTTGAGTGTAGACATATGAAAGCGCTATATAAATGCTTCATTCATTCATTAATTCATTCATCCAGTCTGAAAAGTGTTTTCCGGTTTGGTTTTCCAGGCTAAAGTCTATTCCGGCGTACAATGCTATGCTGGTAGATTGGCACCTGTTGAATTTCCTTTTGTTGAAACAAAACACACACACACACACACACACAGAGTGTGAAACACTCGCTATGCACCATTATGAATGCCTGTGTGTGTGTGGCAGTGTGAAACAATGGCAAGCACACACGCAACTTCCACGGAAGACTGTATTCTCGTACTCTCGAAATATTTCGACTTTAATCTCGAAATGCTAGTTTTTTGTGTGTTTTTTACGTTGCGGTTCAGGGCTTCCGTAGAAAAAGAAGACAGAATTCAGAGAAATTAAACCATTAATTAAACCAAATTGCGATGTGTAAACTAAACGCCATACTTTTCTTGTACAACTTAAGATATTTAAGACTTTTTTATGCCCTTAAATTTGATAAAACTGAATTTAAGACTTTTTTGCGAGATGTAAACTTGCAATTACGAGTTTAAAAAGCTGATTGCTACTTTTTGTGAGATTTAAACTCGCAATTGTAAAAAACAAATCAACAAAAAAACTGAATTTTAAGATATAATTTGCAAGTGTGAGAAAAAAAGTCGTTAAGTGTGAAAAACGCTATACAATTAAATGTGAATCGAACTGAAATGTGAATTTATTTCTGTGAACAAAATTCCGAGAAATAAAATCAAAATTGCAAGTTTAAAAAGGCAAATTACAACATTATATTTCAATTTTAGATTTTTTAATAAAAAAAATTGTCAAAATGTGAGGGAAAAAAAACTTTTTTTTATTTTTTTATTCCATGCCGGAAACAAGCTTCCATACTTTTCTTATACCATTTAAGATATTTATTTTGGCCACTAAAGGTTAACAGACTTTTTATCTCGCAATTCCAACTTTTCCTAGAGATTTTTCTGAAGAAAAGTTTAAAATTGTGCGGAAAAACGTCATACAAATGAATGTGAATTCAGAGGTTCTGACAGATCAAATCAAAATTGCAAGATTTAAAGTTTAAAAATGTAATTGGACATTTTTCTCTCACAATTCTGATTTTTTTTCCAAGAGAATTTTATGTGGGGAAAAAAATCTGAATTGTGAACTTTTTTATTTATTTTATTCCGTGGCGGGATAAAGAAGACAAAATTCCGAGGAATTACATCAAAATTGCGATGTGTGAACTGAACTTTTCTTTTACCACTTTGTTATGGCCTTAAATTTGATAAAACTAAATTGATGTAAACTTGCAATTAATTTCAAATTTTTTTTTTTTTAATTAATTGTTTTTAAAGGTGATTGCTACTTTTTATCTCACAATTCAAACCTTTTTCCAAATAATTTTCTCAGAGTTGTGAGATTTAAACTCGCAATTGTGAAAAAAGTCTGAATTGTAAGAAATAAATTCGCAAGCGTGAGATAAAAAGTGTGAAAAACGCTATAGAATTAAATGTGAATATTTATTCCGTGGACATAATTCTGAGAAATAAAATCTAAATTGTGAGATGTAAAAAGGCAACATAATCTCACAATTCAGACTTTTTTTGAAAGAAAATTGTCAAAACGTGAGGGGAAAACACATTTTGTGGGTCATCCTAAGTGTATATAATGTCGTACACACCTAGGATGGCTTGACGGCGAGTAAATCATGGGCTAATTTTCATCTTAAAGTGAACTCCTTTAATTGTATCAGCGCTGAGTGTGATAGGCTGCTGATGGTCATGTGCCGCTCAGGTGAGGCGCTGGAGTCGGCGGTGCGGCGGGAGGTTCTGGAGGAGAGTGGTGTTCAGGTGGGACCCGTGCAGTACCTGTCGAGTCAGGCCTGGCCGATGCCCTCCTGCCTGATGATTGGCTGCCACTGCGTCGCTCTGACCACTGACGTCACGGCGGACGAGAGCGAGATCGAAGAGGCGCGCTGGTTCACACGCCAGCAGGTGCGTCGCTCACACACACACACTGTAATGCAGACCTTTGCACACAAACAGCGTTTTGTACTTTAAAACACTCTTCACATACTATAAACTTTATTATTTACATTTATTAACACTCTGCAATGCAGACGCACTGTAACTTCTTATGACAGAAATTATTTTACTGTCTACTTCAGGCTCTTGCACTGAAAACCTTTCCTTTACAAACACTTTATTATTTTATTATAACTTTATTATTTACATCTATGCATTTGGCGACGCTTTTATCCAAAGCGACTTACATTGCATTTCAAGCTCCACATTTACATTATTATCAGTTCTTGCTTTCCCTGGGAGTCGAACCCATGACCTTGGCGTTGCAAGCGCCAGCGCTCTCCTGTCTGAGCTGCAGGAAAGAAATTTAATGTACAAAGCAAACATATAAACATATATTTGTTTTGCAAATTTATATACTTTACTGTAAATATCTCATTTTTTCTTTTCTCTAAATTGTATTTGATTGTACGGGTAAAACTTGAAAAATTAGAATATCATGCAACAGTTCATGTATTTCAGTAATTCAAATTAAATGTTGAAACTAATATATTTAGTATATTTAACTATATACATATGCATGATTATACTTTTCAGAGAGCGGACATTTCTGTATTTAAAATCCTTTTTTTTATTGATTTCATGTAATATTCTAATTTTCTGAGGTTTTGAATTTGGGGTTTTCATAATCATCAAAATTATAACTTTTGCACGATATTCTAATTTTTCGAGTTTCACCTGTATATTCTGCACTTCTGTTGAACGCCTGAGCCTCAACCAATGCATCTAGATGTACAAATTGTCTTCGACACTTGTATATATGACATAAATAAAGTAAAAACTAAACGCCAGCTCATACCAACAGCAGTGGAGGGCAGATCGAGGAACACGGAAACAGCCGAAGCAAATGTGCGTGTCGTGTCCAGGCTTCGAATCAATCCCACACCGTCTCCACGGCGACAGAATTTGTACAGCTGTTATTTTATTTATTTCGATACTTTTTTTTTCTTTTTTTTCTGTACTGTAAAGCCCTTCCTTGTCTGTGAAAGGTGCTATATAATACATTTCGGTAACACTTTACTTGAAGGGGTGTTCATAAGACTGACATGACACCTTCATAATCATGACATGACACATGTCATGAATATGAAGGAGGGTTTATGCATGTTTATGACAACTGTCATTAAGTGTCATTCACTCAATTATGACATTTTTAATGCAAATGTGACATTGTTTGAGATGTCTTTGTTATGACAAATTGACATTACTAAGATAACACAACCTGTCATAAATATGTCATAAACATGATATAGCAGATTAATTATCAAACTTAAGAAACCACTTAGCTTTATGGGTTAACATTACATTAAACTGTCATGTGGTTGGTGTTGACATTGGCTGTCATGAGGCCATTATAACTGTGTCATGAATATTTTTTTTTGACCTCAACTACAGTGGTACACATTGAATTTGTCATTAAAAGGTTATAATGGCCTCATGACAGCCAATGTCAACACCACATGACAGTTTAATGCAATGATAACCCATAAAGCTAAGTGGTTTCTTAAGTTTGATAATTAATCTGCTTTGTCATGTTTATGACATATTTATGACAATTTATGTTGTCTTGGTAATGTCAAGATGTCATAACAAAGACATCTCAAACTATGTCATATTTGCATTAAAAATGTCATAATTGAGCGAATGACACTTAATGACAGTTGTCATAAACATGCATAAAACCTCCTTCATATTCATGACATGTGTCAGTCTTATGAAGGTGTCATGTCAGTCTTATGAACACCCCTTCAAGTAAAGTGTTACCGAACTTGTACTTACAGAACAGTGCAAATGCAACAAAAACCCGCACCAAACATGCATAAAAACACCGTTTACAAATCTATTGCAATTTTTTTATTGAACGTAAAACCTTTCAAACTCAATGATCTAATAAGATTATCAAGTGTCTATACGTTCTTTTATCAATTGTCAGTGTTTGTTTAGTTAGGGCTCAGCTAAACAGGCCAAGAGACTATTAACTACCATTATTCATCTTAATATACTAATGTCTACAAATGTCTAAAACTGATCAGAGTTGAGGTGAAACCCACAGACACAGACAGATCATCATCCCCCGCGGTGAACTATTGAAATTTCGAAGTGTTTGGAAACGTTTATGACGTAATGAAGCCTCGTTTACTGAATCACGTGACTCTGGCAGTTTGACACACGCTCCGAAACATTGATTCGGAATAAAAGATTCGTAAATGTTTCGAAGCAGTGTTTTGAAATAGCCATGAGTAAATAACAGAGGTATTCTAACGCGTTCCTCTGCCGTTCAGGTGATGGACGCTCTGGTGAAAGACCAGCGTGCGGTGTTCAACATGCCCCCCCGACAGGCCATCGCACATCTCCTGCTCAAACACTGGGCCGGCTGCACCGCTAACCTCTGAAGCTCTGGATCTGTTCATCAAACTGATCTAATCTGCTTCAACAGTGTGAAGCTTTCAACCGAATCAATCGGCTGTACTTTAGAGATCATAGAACTGAAATTCAATTAAAATCATGACATGACAGCAGAAAATGTTCAATATCCTTATATTGTAATCATTAAAAGCACCAGATTCATCATCCAGATCATTGACACACTCATCTCTGAATGTGATACAAATAAACTCAAACAGAATGTTTTGTTTCTCTTTAAACGATTTACCATGAGAAGTCAAACTTTGAAATTCATACAATTCTGTGTATTTTAAGGTAGTTTGCTGTTGCAAACCGGAAGCACCATGACTGTGATATTACACAATACTGCAACTGTAAAACACATGCATTTCATCATTCAGCTTTTTCATTATTTAAATCATGTTTCTGAAATGGTTCTCAACCTGTTTGTATACAGCAGTTTTCAACGACCCTGTGACTTTTTACTGGATACGGATTAAGGATATGGATGTTTTTATTTTTTTTATTTACTCTCAATTTCTACCCGATAAAAGATTTCTAGAGCTTGGCATGATTAGAAAAATGTGCATTCATTATTAAAATGCCCATGGAACTATACATTTTAGATGCGATTTTATTAATTTCCATGACTTTTCCAGCTCAAGAAATCACACTTTTAAAATAAAGCTTCCTTGATTAAAGACTATTGGAAATCATGGCTCTTCAAAGTCATTAAAATAAGGCCTTAAATATGGCCTTATATGTGAAAAAACTGAATTCAAGACTTTTTTTTTTGTGAGATGTAAACTTGCAATTACGAGTTTAAAAAGGTGATTGCTGCTTTTTATCTCACAATTCAAACCTTTTTGTGAGTTGTGAGATTTAAACTCGCAATTGTGAAAAAAGGTCTAAATTGTAAGATATAAATTTGCAAGAGCGAGATAAAAAGTCAGAATTGTGAGATAAAAAGTATGAAAAGCGCTATACAATTAAGTGCGAATTAAACTGAAATGTGAATTTATTTTGTAGCGGAAACAAAAAAAAAATGTAATAAAAAATTGTGAGATGTAAACTTGTAATTACGAGTTTAAAAAGGTGATTACTACTTTTTATCTCACAATTCAAACCCTTTTCCAAAGAATTTTCTCAGAGTCGTGAGATTTAAACTCGCAGTTGTGTAAAAAGGTCTAAATTGTAAGATATAAATTTGCAAGAGCGAGATAAAAAGTATGAAAAACGCTATACAATTAAAAGTGCGAATTAAACTAAAATGTGAATTTATTTTGTAGCGGAAACAAAAAAAATTTAATAAAAATATTGTGAGATGTAAACTTGGAATTACGAGTACAAAAAGGCAACATTGGAAAATTATAGCAACATAAAATAAGAATAATCTTGTTTTAAATTGGCCCTCAGGTTGAGATCCGCTGCTTCTGTGAACACATGATGTGGATTCGACTTCATCAAATATTATGTAGTAAATGCAAACGTGAAACGAGTGAAAGTTGTGTGAGATTCTTCTGAAACAGACGAGAAACCGCCGTTGAGTCGATTGAGACGAGATTAAAAGCATTCGTGGTTTATCACAGTGGGAAAATGTAGATATCAGTCTGAGGGTTTCTCAGAAAAGTGAAATACAATTTGTCCATTTTGAACATAATCAGAAGGATCAGCTAATAGGGGTAAATCGACGTACTCGGGTGGACTGGGGGGGGGGAGGGCGTCTGTGTTCGTGGAGGTCTTCGATGGAGTCGCGTCCTCGTGTTCTGATGTCAAAGACTCGCGCCGCTCCACCTCTATGAGGCTCTTCTGCGTCTGCGGGTCCAACGGGAACAAACTCTCCAGTTTCAGCACACAGATCCGTCCACTGCCCTGTTAACATCACACGTTATCCACACAAACGGCCTTTTCTCACTGGTAAGAAAGTAAGAGTGCCCCTATTAAGCTTTTTGTGATATTCCCTTTTGTAGTTGAGCTGTTTGTGAACGTAAAAGCGAGTTTATCTCAGTCTCTCGTCCTGCTGAACATGTGTAGGTTTGTAACTAATTTGCATAATGCCCGCCTCTGGTCTTGATTGGCTGAGCAGCGTCTCTAAGCTCCGCCCTCAAACACTAGTGTATCTGAGACTGGAAGAGTTCAGTTCGTGTTGTTCATGTCGAAGACGCTGTTTGATACGGTAAAACCAACGCCATCGTTACTGTTCGTATCAAGAGCTGAGATTCAGATATGATAATGAGTGTTTGGTTTCTGGCCAATCACAGCAGAGCAGCTCTCAGAGAGGCGGAGCTTAGAGACTGAATCTTCAATCGAAGCGTTTCAGACACTGAGAGAAAAGAGCTGAAGCTGTAATGGAGATTATGAGGAAACTAGTGTTTTTTGACCTTGTAATCCTGTTCTAAAACTATAAAAATAGCATAATAGGGACACTTTAATTAAAACTAATGATTGTCAAGCGGGAAGTGTTGAGTGACCTGCAGATGCGGGTGGAGAAGCCAGCGGCCGATCAGACTGAACCTCGGATTGGCGACGACAGGGAGGAAATGTTTCCTGCATCTGTGAGTAAACGGTTACAGAGCCATTACTGGAGCCACAGTCAACACTGTAAGACGGATCGTCACATGGGATCGCTGCTTACACGGTCATTGATGACACAGAGAATATCCCAAAGACGAGAAGCAGGAGAACCACTGGAACGGCAAATCTCATCAACTCAGCGTAATCTGACAAATAAAGACAGATGCATGAATGATTTACAAATGTATGTTTGCTGTAACATTATCCTCATCTGTTGAGTGTGTGAGTGAGTGAGTGAGTGAGTGAGTGAGTGAGTGAGTGAGTGAGTGAGAGAGAGAGAGAGAGTGAGAGAGAGAGAGAGAGAGAGTGTGTGTGTGAGTGAGAGTGAGTGAGTGTGTGAGTGAGTGAGTGAGTGAGTGAGTGAGTGAGTGAGTGAGTGAGAGAGTGAGAGAGAGAGAGAGAGTGAGAGAGAGAGAGAGAGAGTGTGTGTGTGAGTGAGAGTGAGTGAGTGAGTGAGTGAGTGAGTGTGTGAGTGAGTGAGTGTGTGAGTGAGTGAGTGAGTGAGTGAGTGAGTGAGTGAGTGTATGAGTGAGTGAGTGAGTGAGAGAGAGAGAGAGAGAGAGTGTGTGTGTGAGTGAGAGTGAGTGTGTGAGTGAGTGAGTGAGTGAGTGAGTGAGTGAGTGAGTGAGTGAGAGAGAGAGAGAGAGTGTGTGTGTGAGTGTGTGAGTGAGTGAGTGAGTGAGTGAGTGTATGAGTGAGTGAGTGAGTGAGAGAGAGAGAGAGAGAGAGAGAGAGAGAGAGAGAGAGAGAGAGTGTGTGAGTGAGAGTGAGTGTGTGTGTGAGTGAGTGAGTGAGTGAGTGAGTGTGTGAGTGAGTGAGTGAGTGAGTGTGTGAGAGAGTGAGTGAGTGAGTGAGTGTGTGAGTGAGTGTGTGAGTGTGTGTGTGAGTGAGTGAGTGAGTGAGTGAGTGAGTGAGTGAGTGAGTGAGTGTGTGTGTGTGTGTGAGTGAGTGTGTGAGTGAGTGCAGGCACGTGCACACATAGACATCAAAGGGGGCTTGAGCACCTGCCCTTTTTATTCCTGGAGAGAAAGTGCCCTATTTTCTGAGGTGCTTTTTTAATTTTTTTTTAAAATAATATATATTATTGTTGGTCGTCGCTATAGGCCCAACTTCTGCCTAGCCCCCCTAAAAATTTGTGATTAATGTAGGCTACAGAAATTCGTGTTCGCTTCAGTCTTGTTATTATCAGATTCAGCGCGTTCTTCATCTTCAATCCGCAGCGGCGCAGAGCAGAGAGCACGTCAGAAACAGAGGACAGGGTGTGTGTGTGTGTGTGTTCATGTGTGTGTTCATCTGAGCCTCATTGGTCTGTCACTGCCCCTCAATGTCAGAATATTTGAGATGACCAATCAAATCAAAGTAGGCGGGCTTTATGTTCACAGACGCTGCTGAGCGCGAATTTTAACCATTTTAACAGTGCAACTCGACGCGGACGGTCAAGTGCGAGATAAGTAAGTAGCTAAACTTAACATTTCATATTTGACATTTTTTTAGGTCGTAAATGTTAAACGAATGACTAAAAATAATCAGGAAAACTAATATAGTTTTGTCTAATTTCGCCATTTTTAACTGAAAATAGGCCTATGTAACGTGGCTCATGTAATGTAATAATTAGTTTACAAGAAACATTAACAAAGCCGTTTTCATCATGTTCGGCACAAGATTAATAATGAA